CAGATATTTTCTTAGTTATGCAGATTAAGACTAAGAACTATTTAAATTCACTATTTTTCGTGGTCCGCTTGACCAATTAATATCTTTCAAGTAATTAAGGTTTTAGATGAGATAAAAAGTCAGTGTCAAGAGCGGGATTCGAACTCACGACCTTCGGCTTGACACGCCGCTCCTCTACCACTTGAGCAATCGTGACTTTATTGCAATTCATGCTGTAATAACACGTTCTAGTCGTGTCAAATTGAGAGATAGTAATCGAATGGGAAGTTGGATTGATGTGACGTTTAAAGAAAAACACCTTGAGCAGCCAAACGACTGCAATGTAGAAAGTACGTTCGAAGTGATGTCCTCAATATCCTGATCAAAAAGGAAGAGTTACGCAACGAGCCGTTAGTGTATGAAATCATATAGATATTGACACGCTGAAATGTCGAACGATTTGGTTTTTAATTCCGCGTTAATTAAAATTAATTAATTGAGGGGGAGGGATATTCAATATTCTCCTGTTTCCCAGACTTTATCGATGTCATGGTCATTTGTATGTTTAATAATGATTATTATATATTTTTGTGGTGCCATTGGAGGTATTCAACAAATGGACAATACACTTTCAAAATGAGCGTATTGGAAAAACACAAATTGTTACAAATACACATATTATAAAACATCTAAGTTTGTTTTTTAAGACAATTATTTAAAACAATTGTTTAAACGAAATAACCAAAAGTTATTCACTGAAACATAGTCTATAATTTTAATCATCTTTGAACCCATCCTTGTGTCAAAAAATTCAATTTTAGAGTGTTTTTAAAGATGGGAAGACAATTGTGGACAAGAATTACTCGCCTGAAGGAGCGAGGTCGGTGCACTCTGTGAAACGACGGAGAATTTTAATTTCAATTAATTCAATTTTGAGGTAGACCCATGCTATCATTTTTGCTTTTAAAAGAACCGTCAATATTTTCGTTTCAAAAAACAAAAATTACGTTATATTAAGTTTTTTTAAATTCGTTCATGAGAATGTGCTGTTCTCATGCTGTTCAATAGTCAATTAGTTGAGATTGATAGATTATTTTTAATTTATTGAATGTTCAGCGTCACAATCCATCAAAATACTTTTAAGTCAAGTGTTTAAATGTACTTTCATTGATTATTCAACGTGTAATATTGACACTATATCGTGACTTGGACGTTCTCTCCCTCACTCTCTCTCTCTCTGACAAATTACCTGCAATTCGCCTTCATCAGGCGATGTCCCGAGTGCCGTCTCAAGATTTAATTACACATTTGACTCCTTTCCAAGGTTTCCACGGCCCAATGTCAAAGCTTTCGGGGGCCGTCGACATTAAAAAAAAACATTTCCGATACGGAAAGAAATCTATGTTCGGCCAGAACGCGCACCAGCGGCGATGACACGGTTTGATAAACGGCACCGTGCGAGAATTAACTCAGTTTCTCCATTGTAGGTCGGTTGCTTAAGATCAGAGACGGAACCGGGGCATCTCTTGCGGAAATGACTTCTAAATTATCTAATAATGAAACTATGCCAGCCCAACATTATAAATAATTCAATTAATTAAGGTTTTTAGTTGAAATAAAAAAGTCAGTGTCACGAGCGGGATTCGAACCCACGACCTTCGGCTTGATACGCCGCTATTCTACCACTTGAGCTATCGTGACTTCGATCCACTGGGCACTAACTTCCCATCTCAACCCCACCTTTTGAATTTTCCCTCCTTTTTGGCATTTTTCAATGGCAAAATGGCAAAAAGGAGGGAAAATTCAAAAAGTGGGGTTGAGATGGGAAGTTAGTGCCCAGTGGATCGAAGTCACGATAGTTCAAGTTTACTAACTTTTTTATCTCAACTAAAAACCTTAATTAATTGAATGATATTAATTGGTCAAGCGGACCACGAAAACTAGTGAATTATAAATAATTCTTCTAGCCTATGGAAGATAAACTAGCAAAAACAGTTCATCTAAAATTGTTCTCTTTACTGTGGAAACATTTTATGACTTATCCGTACAGTGGTTTTAAAGGTGATAAGTCAATTGTGGACAAGAATGACCCGGCCTGGCATTTTTCCAACGTGAAAAAATCATTTCAATTAAGTTTTCCAAGCTGGTAGAACGGCAGTATTTTTAAATTGTTTATTTTGAAGTAATCCTTTCGTTATCTTTGTTTTATGATCTGAATCATCTGTTAAATCTACATCCGTCTAGGTTTTGTGTAAATTCTGGCTTAAAGTACGGTCGCAAGAATACCAAGAAAACCAATTTTGATAGATAATGATGCACGTATAGTCCCTTTTTGATGTTGAAGAATTGCAGAGCTTCCTTGTTCACTGAGGATTTTAAGTAATGGCAAATCTAAAATCAATTGATGAAATAGCTAATAAATATTAAAACGGTACTTGACCATGATAAATAATACTTATCCATAATAGCAAGCACACAGAGCACTTGGTTTATTTGATCAATTAACACTCAATTTAAAAACCTGGTACTCTTAAGCAAGTACAAGTACGGTTGTTACTATGTATCAGTCACAGGATTTCCTTGGTGTGTATATTATGCAAAAGTGCTCGCCACATGTGGTACCAAGTTGCATGAGATAAACTAAATACCAAGTCCTCATCATATACACTTAGTATATTTGTAAAGAAGACATATGCTATGAAACCTGGTCGCAATATGCCAAGGCAACCCACTTGATAATGAAATGATAATAAAACTCGCGGTAGCCGAGTGGTTAAGGCGTCAGACTCTCGGCTAGTAGATCCCACGGTCGTGGGTTCGAGCCCCACCGTCGCCTCTGGGCTTTTTCTGACGTCTAAGGGGACCGGTGGCCGCAATTGAAAGAAATTGACATGGCATTCATTAATGTAAGGGGCGGGATCGGATCTCAGCGACCCTGAATTTGGTCCCGACCCCCTTCAAAAATGAGTTTCTTCGATGGAAGAACGGGGGCTCAAGTTCACATTTGTGTGGCGAGCCCTCCCTCATAATATGGAGCCAGGAATAAAGTACAATAAGCTGTACAACTCAGCTGCAGTGCTCAGGAGGGAACTCCTCCAGTCCCTGGTATAAAAAAAAAAAAAAAAAAAAAACACTAAATGCCAAGTAGCATAATACATTAGATACAAATTAGCACGTTACACTATATACTAATTAACATGATACACTATATACCAATAAATAAGATACACTAAATACCAATTAACATGATACACAAATTAGCAATTATTAAGATACAGTAAATACCAATTAACAAGATACACTGAATACCAATTAACATGATACACAAATTACCAATTATTAAGATACAGTAAATACCAATTAACAAGATACACTGAATACCAATTAACATGATACACTGAATGCCAATTAACAAGATACTCTAAATACCAAGTAGCATGATACACTAGATATCAATTAATATCATATACTAAATTCCACGTAGCATAAAACATTAGATACCAATTAGCATGTTACACTATATATTAATTAACATGATACACTAAATACCAATTAACAAGATACAGTAAATACCAATTAACAAGATACACTGAATATCAATTAACAAGATACAGGAAATACCAATTAACAAGATACACAAAAATACCAAGCAGCATGATACACTAAATGCCAAGTCGCATAGTACATTAGATACAAATTAGCACGTTACACTAAATACCAAGTAACATGATACCCACAATACCAAGTAGCATGATACATTAAATACCAATTAACATGATCCACTAAATATCAATTAACAAGATACAGGAAATACCAATTAACAAGATACACTAAATACCAAGTAGCATGATACACTAGATATCAATTAACATATACACTAAATGCCAAGTAGCATACTACATTAGATACAAATTAGTACGATACACTATATACTAATTAAAATGATACACTATATACCAATTAATAAGATGCACTAAACACCAATTAACAAAATACACTAAATACCAATTAACTTGATACACAAATTACCAATTATTAAGATACAGTAAATACCAATTAACAAGATACACTGAATACCAATTAACGTGATACACTGAATGCCAATTAACAAGGTACTCTAAATACCAAGTAGCATGATACACTAGATATCAATTAACATCATACACTAAATTCCACGTAGCATAATACATTAGATAACAATTAGCATTACACTATATAATAATTAACATGATACACTAAATACCAATTAATAAGATTCAGTAAATACCAATTAACAAGATACACTGAATATCAATTAACATGATACACTGAATGCCAATTAACAAGGTACTCTAAATACCAAGTAGCATGATACACTAGATATCAATTAACATCATACACTAAATTCCAAGTACCATAATACATTAGATACAAATTAGCATGTTACAATATATACTAATTAACATGATACAATAATTACCAACTATTAAGATACACTAAATACCAAGTAACATAATATGCTCAATATACCAAGTGATCTCGATGTGCAGTGATTAAAGTGATAAAAGATATATTTGATTCATTTCATATCACATCGCTATATGAGTGTACCTGGTACATAAAATATCAACTTTTGAATCACTAAGAATGCAACATACTTACTTATGCCAGTAGTGTCCTCGTCCGTAATGCTAGCTTATTTAATACATGTAGTCTAATACGCCATGTCATGTATCCTACAAATACTTAATACCAAGTAAAGGTACACGCCAAATCGATACCATGTAGCCTCGATTTATTTAAAACGGTACAGTTACTACCAATTTACATACCAAATCACTTGATACCTTGTTGAAACACTATCGATATGCGCTGTCAGGTATGATACTTTTGACTGAAACATGTTTGCCACTTACGATTCATATATACACAATTTGCCTAGTACATACAATTGGCGAATTTCGCCCAAAACACTGTTTTTATTTGATTTGAATCATCCTGTTTCGATTTGAATAATTAAAGTTTTGACCTTTCTGTTTCAGAGGATAGTGTCCAAGTTCGGTTCCGTGGTGAGCAGGAAGAAAACCGACGACACAGATGCCAGCCTCGAAGGTTCCCACCTGGCCAGGGTGCTCGGCTTCGGCGACCTGACCCTCCTCGGGGTCGGGTCGACACTAGGCGTCGGCGTTTACGTCCTAGCGGGCAGCGTCGCCAGGACGGACGCAGGTCCAGCTGTCACCCTGTCCTTTCTCGTCGCTGCCATCGCCTCCTCCTTAGCAGGTAATAACTCATAAAACATTTTTCCCTCAGCGATTCGTGTGATTAAATGCTGTGAGAACCAGGGCATATAGTGATTTTTTCGCAAGAATTGTCAAATAAAGTTTTATTCTGTGAAAGTAGGTGTCAAATAGCTGTTTGATGTTTTATTCTTCTTTTTAAGTTGTCTTTTCTTTGCGAATTTCAGCCATGATGCTTATTTTAATTTGAATTCGTTGTCGACTATTGTCCAGGTTTAAACCGGGTTTTTAATTCCGTTTGACTCCAAAGCGTAAAAGCGAGCCTCTCGAAGGAACCCTTGCGTGAAATCATGAATCATTGAATGACGGCCTGAAAAGTCAATCATTGCACGGAAAACGTTAGCCCTCTCTCCTTGGAACAAAACAGAATCCGGATCCCCGTTCTGCTATCTTGCCACGCGGACCGAGCATCTAGGTCTCTTTTCACCCAAAAACACCCGATTTCACGAATATCATTTTCTAACGTTGATAATTTGAAAAAGGGAAAACATTACATCAACTGTTTGTTTGTGGGCACAGCAAAGATGCAATTACAAGGCAAATCGGTTTGAAATTATAATTAATGTTTTTAAAAAAAGCGGTCATTCGTTTACCATTATCTTTCTTTACTTCTAATGATCACTAAATCATAGATCATCATCACACAATTTTGTATTTAATAGAATCGGACATAAAATAGGTTTGTGGAATTAGTAAACCGTATTTTCGTTTATAATTGTGTGCCCGTTTTGCTAAGTCGGGGTCGGTAAACTCATTGTTATCGGTTTAATTGATACCCGCATTCGATCGACGTTTCCAGGATGTGCTTGTTTAACTACCTTCAATTATGCTCACAGCTTTCGCGGATTTTAGCATTTTTCCATTTCCACCTTTACGTCATCTGGAGTGAGGTAATTGTCCAGTAATCTACTCTTCAGGAATGACAATTATCTTTACATTCATTTCACGTTTCAGTGTTGAAATTCGAAAACATCTAGATTTCTCGCGTTATCTCGAAGAAGATTGATGCCTTATTTTTCTTTTGGAATAAAGAAATGTAAATTGTGTTATCTCGGCAATAGAGCTCACAATATTGCCCAATTGCGATTGACAAATGTTAAATTTGTGCATTCAAAATTTGCAGTCTTTTGATACATAAATCATGAGATTTGAATCTTAGGAGCGATTAGATTAATTGGTGGTTCAGTCGTTTCCGAACACTTTGGTCTGGGTTTTCTCAAAAAACCGACCTCAGGCGTATAAACGAGAAGAGACAAAACGCTTTTTCTACTATTATCCTATTTGGCAACCCTACCTCAAAACTTTGAGTACAAATATTTCCAAGAAATTACTGCAAAGCAAAAATTACATATATATAGATACCTAGATACAGCTCTTCTTAGTAGACATCTAGATAAAAAATATAACAACCGGACAACAATAGTACAAGGCAAAACAAACTGGTCAGAAACGACCAAACTACAGAGGAATTATTGTTGCGTCAAACTAACCTTACGCATCACTAACACCTAATGCGTTAAAACTAACGTTCCGCTTATACAGGAAACCAGATGCACCATTGAAGATGACGAGAAGCTGAAACATATGACACGACTAACAGTGCAAAGAACCAAGGATAGGCAAACCAAATTGGTCAGAAACGACCAAACTACAGAGGAATTATTGTTGCGTCAAACTAACCTTACGCATCACTAACACCTAATGCGTTAAAACTAACGTTCGGCTTATACAGGAAACCAGACGCACAATTGAAGATGACGAGAAGCTGAAACGTATGTCATTTCAAAACTGCGAGGATATTTAGATCAAACGATAAAAAACGACTAGTTTACACAAGAATTCATTTTCATTCGTACAATCTTACTGGGTTTGACCATGTGTTCAACATGTCTTCACTGACTGATACCACCAACCAGAGGAATTGCCAAAGTTTGGTCAAGCCTTTAAACTCCTACCCGGGACTGAGCCAAGCCCTATGCACGGTATATAAAAGCATATAGAGCATATGGCGTAGGGAAGCACGACGTGAGCGATAAAAATCACAACAGGTGACATCCGTGTACATGTATGTACATATGTCAAGCCATATCCTACAATATTGCGCTTCAAGCACTTAGACAAATCAGAAAAACAGACGAACTTACCAAATGTCAAGGAGTAGTGCTCCGAAAAAAATGCTTGCATTTTATTTAAAAAATGGATAGAAGCTATATGGGACAAATAGTAACAAGGGAAGACTGGCTTCAAATACTTCACTGAAATTGAAAATAAAAAGAAAAGCAAAGAACCCATTAGGACATTAATTAATCAAGGAATTAAATGTAAAAAAAACATATTTCTCGAGCCTTACCTTTAACCAGGGCCATGTTAATTTCAACCTTTTAAACCATAATTTTAGTTAATTGGTCTGACGGTATAGGCTCTCCCCGGTTAGAAATTAAGAGATAAAATGTATCCGAGTGGAACGGAATGTCTAGCCCAAAAACGATCTTTACAGACTGAAAACTATGCAGGGTGTTCGGCTACTCGAGTCACAAACTTTGCCAGTAGATTCAGCATTCAAAATGGAACCAAAAAGTCCTAGTTAACTATGGTCCGAATCTCAACAATTTCGTAGTTAGTTCACTTTTTCTGATTTTTTAAGATTGCACGACCTTGCTTCAAATAAACAATGATAACTCTAACCTTCGTAAAATAAGTGTTTTAGTAGCGAGAACTTTGAAAAATATTTTTTTTTTTCAAAGTTGAAAAACTTACTATGGAAATTCTAAACTACTATTCTCAAACCTAGAAAAATGCTTAAGGAAATTTTGAATGAGATTATTAAACTTTTTTTTAAATTTGGGTTTGAAACCGAAATAGTGCAAGATACTGATTTACCAACACGACTGCAACTTTGATTAAAGGATTACTGTATTATTATTCTCCGGAATAAAAGAATTTTAAGATTCAAAACATTTTTAGTTATCTACGTAATATCATGATAACACTATGGCTACTTTATCTAATACACCTTATGTACAGGTTTTGCGGGTTTAATGCAACGGCAGCGCGTCGAAAATACATTGCGGAGGGTGGAGAGATTTAGAATCAAAATTTAAAAAACGATTATTTGGGGATCTGGAGATGCGGTCTGGTGTGCCGTAGGTTTTAGACATTTTCTTTATCTTGCCAACGTTTCGATCTTTATTGAGATCATCTTCAGGGCCTGGGATTTTTAAACATCGTTTAAATTTTACAAATACATGAAGGATGTGGAAAAAAACACGACACAGAAGAATGACACATCTACACGGGAAACAAACACTTTGAGTGAGTACAAATACTTTGAATCTAAAATTTCCGGCATTGTCTAAATTCATTTTTTTCTCTTTGAAGGCTCTGAAGATGATCTCAATAAAGATCGAAACGTTGGCACGATAAAGAAAATCGAAAAACTACGTCACATCAGACCTCATCTCACGATCTCTAACTAATCATTGGCTAACTGTCACTAAACACCACACATTAAAACAACGTTTAATAAATTCATTCAAAATTTCTTTGAGTTTTTTTATTTTTTATTATTATTAATCTTTCCACCTTACCAATCCGTCAACCACGGTTTCTTACTTTCCTTCATTCATTTCTCCATCTTTGAAAAAAGTAATTAAAAAAGCAATTGCGCCACTAAAATGGATATTAAATGGGGTACTTTTTCTGAAATTTGCTGGACTCTAGGTTTGGAAATAGTAGTTTAGAATCATCATAGTAAGTCTTTCAACTTTGAAGAAAAATATTATTTTCAATGTTCTCGCTACCAAAACGCTTATTTCACTAACGTTTACATGTTTAATATTGGTCACATCTTATTGGAAATTTAACGTACTTTTCAATGGTCTCAACGGATTTGTCCAAAACCTTTTAGTTTCGGAGTTATCATTGTTTATTTGAAGCAAATTCTTGAAATCTTAAAGTATCAGAAAAAGTGAAATAACTCTGAAACTGTTGAGATTTAGACCATAGTTAATTAGGACTTTTTGGTTCCAAATTGAATGTAGAATCTACTAACAAAGTTTGTAACACGAGTAGCCGAACACCCCCCTGAAGAAGAAACCCGAAAAACAAACAATTTTGTTGCATACTTGTATTGGTCCTCCGTACCATATACATTCAAAACTAACTTCTAGATGGTAAAAACAATTACAATCCTTTATTTTTTGTCAGCAGTTGTCCGTTAAAATAAGAACTCTTGGGTTTCTTCTTGATTTCTAATGTTCATTTTGATGTCTGGGTTTAATGATACTAGGATCGAAGCAAATATAAGAGATAAAGGCGATGGTACATTAATAGAAATAACACATAAGAGATAGATTTAAACGGGAAAAAAGGTACATAATAAAAGAGAAACTGGAAGAAAGTAAAAATAGATAAATAGGTAGAGTCAACAAGATAGATTCTAGGTAATTAAGGTTTTTAGTTGAGATAAAAAAGTCAGGGTCACGAGCGGGATTCGAACCCACGACATTCGGCTAAATACGCCGCTGCTCTACCACGTGAGCTATCGTGACTTCGATCCACTCGGACACTAACTTCCCATCTCAACCTCACCTTTTGAATTTCCCCTCCTTTTTGCCATTTTTCAAATGTCATGTAATCTATTTGATTCTCGGCGACAAATGAAATGGCCACGGAGAGCTTTAGTGAAGATATACTTCATGTAACTTATTAAATTTACTAGTGACTCCGCTTGACCAATTAATATCTTTCAATTAATGAAGGGTTTTAGTTGAGGTTAAAAAAATCGCAAAAAGGAGGGAAAATTCAAAAGGTGGGGTTGAGATTGAAAGTTAGTGTCCGAGTGGATCGAATCACGATAGCTCAAGTAGTAGAGCAGCGCGTATTTAGCCGAAGGTCGTGGGTTCGAATCCCGCTCGTGACACTGACTTTTTTATCTCAACTAAAAACCTTAATTAATAGAAAGATATTAATTGGTCAAGCGGACAGGAAAACTAGTGAATATAATAGATTCTAAGCTTCTGAGCATTTTTCGGCACTTTTTGAACTTTGAACGGTCGAACCTTCTTCGATTTTTCGAAAATACGGAAATAAAACTTGATTGGGGCAAAAGAAATGGGGGGTTTTAATGGCAAACTCGTGATTCTTCTGACCAACGGTGAAAGTGCTTATTTCTCAATTGATTATTACAGGCTTTTGAACGATCGGAACGCGAGGCCTACTGGCGATTATGCCTTATGGGGACACATGGCTGATGTAATGTTTCGTTTGCAATTTTTCCATTTTTCCCCTCTTCTTCTTCGCCCCACTCTTGGCCTTTATTTACATCTTGTCTGGGGAAACGGAAATTTTAGTCAATCGTCAAATAAACCTGCTAATTGGGCGGGTAATGGTTGATCTAATGACTCCTGCCTCAAGCCGAGTTAATGAGGGAAAAATAGCGAAAAATTTCCATGGTTGGTTTTTGGTTTTTTTAGTCCATCCTTAACTTGACCCATTTTTTTTTAAATTATTATCTTGCATATAAACAAACAGTGTATATTTCTATATAAGCACCCTCTTTAAAAAATAAATATTTTATTCAGGTAGACGAAATATCCGTATAAAATAATCTATGCAAAACTAGATCAAATGCTTAACTGGAAGGAACGTATAGGTAAAACAATAAAAAAGGCAAAGGCTACAACAAATGTGGGCTAAACAGTTTAGGCGTTGACACGGCGCTCATCACTGTAAGGTAAAGGTCCCGGGTTCGAATCCAGCGGACCTGCATTCGAACCTGACATACAAATGGGCTTTTTTCAAAAACACCAGCACCCTGAGGGTTTATATGATCTCTGCTTTTGTAAAAAAAAAAGGGGGGTTCCATCCACGTGGAAGAACCAAAAAGTAGCTGAAATTTTTGGCTAGAAAGTGTCTGAACGACCACCAGATAATTTTTACTTATTTATAGATTGGAAGGGAGATTCAAATCATAACGATAAATCTCTAAAAAATAAATCATAACAATTAATCATAAAGGAAAACCAATATCCTGTAAAATAATTAATATGGTCTTTCAAGTTTAGGTTTGTTTTAAAAAAAATGGTATTTTCATTTAATAGGTCTCTGCTATGCTGAGTTTGCTGCAAGGGTGCCGAAAGCAGGTTCAGCCTATGTCTACAGCTATGTCACCGTAGGAGAGCTTGCTGCGTTTGTCATTGGTTGGAATCTCATACTTGAATACGTCATAGGTGAACGTTTAATTAAACATAATTATTTTTTTAAATTATGCTAAATATTTTAAATATTACAGGGACAGCAAGTGTCGCGAGGGCTTTCAGTGCGTACCTGGATCAAATGTTTGGAAAGGTGATTGCATCGACACTTACAGAAGTAATGCCACTACATGTAGATTTTCTGTCTCCTTACCCAGACTTTCTCTCCCTCGGGATTGTACTTCTTCTCACAGGTTTTTTCCCTATATTTATTTTTCAGTATAATAGTTATTTTAATATAAAATTTGTTCATATAGTTTTGCTTGCTTATGGAGTCAAAGAATCAGCATTGTTGAACAACATATTTACTGCATTAAATCTGTTAACTGTTGTGACTGTTATTATAGCTGGACTTTTTAAAGGTATTTAGAAAAAATTCTTAAAATTTAGTGTTTCTTGTTAATGAATTTTTTTTTTTTAGTTGATTCTTATAATTGGGCTATACCAAAAAGTGCTATTCCAGCAAAGGACAAAGGGGGTGAAGGCGGTTTCATGCCATATGGTATATCCGGAGTAATGGCTGGAGCAGCCAAGTGCTTTTTCGGTTTTGTAGGATTCGACTGCGTTGCTACAACTGGTGGGTATCAGATATTTTTTTTTTCATTAATTTACAATTCACTGAACTTTTTTCCAATTGTTTGCACAGGAGAGGAGGCCAAGAATCCACAAAAACACATCCCACTGGCTATCATCTTTTCTATGCTGATCATTTTTTCATCGTACTTTGGCATTTCAACAGTTTTGACTATGATGATCCCTTATTTTGAGCAGGTGAATGCCTTTAACAATTTTTTACTTACTTTAAAAGTTTAAAACATTTATTATTTTATGTCAAGTGATTAATTTAGCAAGAATGATTTATGATATAAATGTTCTTAACCATTATTTTTTTGTTTTATCCTTTTATTATTAAGTAGCATTAATGCATTGTGTTTTTTCTAGGATCTAGATGCACCACTTGTAAGTGCATTTGAAATTACAGGAATGCCAGTTATAAGTAAAATTGTCTCAATTGGTGCTATTTTTGCCCTTTGTACAAGGTAGCTATAAAATATTCTCCATATTAAACACTGCGTAATAAAATAAAAGTAATTTAGCATAAAAAAATTGGGATATTGATTTTAAAAGAGGTTCAATAATATTAAAGAAGCCAATGTTCATGAATTAAATCCAGTAAAATATTCTAGCATGCTTGGTTGTATTTTTCCCCTTCCGAGGATCCTATATTCAATGGCAAATGACGGCATTTTGCCTCAATTTTTCTGCCATGTGCACCGAGGGTCACCGCTCCTGGCAACACTCTCATCTGGCGTTTTCGCAGGTTATTCCGTGATCAAAATTTCACTTGGAATGTATCCGTTTGATTAACACTAAATAACTGGAGAAGGAAGCATGCAAAGGAATGATTTAATCATGAAACTCTAATGCACCGAAAAATTAATTGATAACATGTTAATTTTTTTAAAGAACACAGGTTTTTTTACACAAAAAAAAATAAAAAGATTAAATAGTAAATTTTCTTCCAGTCTTCTTGGAACTATGTTTCCAATGCCTAGGATGTTTTATGCAATGGCTGGAGATGGTCTTCTATTCAAAAGACTAGCAACTATTAACAAAAGGACAAAAACTGCTGTTTTCTCGACAATACTCTCAGGATTGATTTCAGGTTGTATCATCAATGTGATAAATGTCTTGTGTGCCAAATTGCAAAGTGAAAAAGGCAGTTTTTGTTACTTTTTTACAACTGTTATTTTTTTAAATATGTATTTGGTTTGCATGATGTCATGTGGTTTTTTAAAATAGTCTTTTAGGATGCATGTTTCCTGCACCGAGGCTGCTTTATTCCATGGGGAAAGACAAAACTTTGTGGAATTTCCTGGCTATAATCAGTTATAGAACACAGACTCCATTGAGAGCTACATTTGTAGCAGGAGGCATAACAGGTTAAGGCCTGACTTGTTGAACAATATTTTTTTGTCCTGAACAAATTAATATGTTTCATCGTTTCCACTAATTCATATTTTAACGAGTACATTTTAAAGAAAATAAAACCATCTTTGATAACCTTTGATTTCTCTCTCAAAACTATACTTAACCTCGAAAGCTTAATAAACATTTGGCTAAAATAAAACACAAAATGTGTCAAATTAACATTTTAAGAAATATTTTCACCTGCAAAGATTTCTATCATTGTAAAATTTTACATAATTAAACATACATCGCTAAATGTAAACTCTATAATTGTAATTGCTTCTTAATAAATAAACCAGTTTTAACCCTCGAATATCAGCTTGTACAAATAAGTTCATAGTGTTTTTAATAATTTCATCTTGCTTGAGTTTTTGAACTAATGTTTCTTTAGTTGTTACTGTTTACAAATATGAAAATTGATTAGTTAAACTGTTTTTATTTATAAATTTCATTTGAGAGCTCATATTTTACAAGATGTTTTGTTAATTTAAAATGAAAGAAAGAAAATATGGTAATGAACACTTTAAGAAAAAGAATTCTTTGTAAGTAGCATGCTTGGTTCAAAAGTGGATATTTTGATTTGGAAGACACAAAGTGTTTTAGTTCTTCAACTGTTGATAATGACCACATTCAAGCATTTGCAGATGGATATGTGTTGGACCAATATATGTGCCTGTTGACTGTGAAAAATTTATTGGACTGCATCAACCCATTTTTAAAAAGATTGACATTTGGATATGAAAAGTGGGTCCTTTATAACAATGTTTAGAGAAGAAAATTTTGGGGAAAACGTAACTATCCACTGTTAATTACTCCAAAAGCCAGATCACATCCCAAGAAGGTTATGATGATGTTGATGATGAATACTAAGGCTTATTGTACTTTCCTAGTTCTTTAGTTCAGTCAATGACCCGATCCTTCTCTTAAGAAGTTATCAGTTAATTCCTTTCCCTGGGTTTCTTTGCATCCCAGATTTGGCCTCCATCAAACCGTTCTTTGCATTTGAAGGTTATATGGGTGTCTTATTCGTTGTATAACTTGCGAATGTGGTCATCATTAAATCTACCCATGTTGTGTAGATATTTTCTCAGATGGTAGTATGGTATGTAGTCCTACTCTTCTGAATTTAGCCCTCTCTAACCGTAGCATTATGTTTGACAGTCTTGGTGAAGGTCGTTTTAACATAAGCTGTCTAGTACTCGAATGTTTATCCTCTTCTCGTTTTGCCCTTTTTAATCCATTCTGTGATTGAGGATTTTATGTTTGTTTTTGTTGGCACAAGAATAGGTTCAGGACCTATAAATGGTCTTGCAGATCCTCCTTCGGCCAGTATGTCTTCCTTTTCATAACCCAAAATTTCCTTGTGTCTTCATACCAAAGATACTAGCAGGTTGTTGTGTTTTGTCAGGTCAGCATTTACTGACTAATTTTGATGTGATTTTTTTACATGCCAATGCCTGTAAATGGAGTTGCTTGGCTATCCGATCGTATGAGAATTATTTTGTCAGTCTAACCTCTTTTAAGTTTTTCTAAGGCACAAGAGTTGATGGCATGTATTTGAGCTTGAAAGACTGAAATGTACTTCCCTAATGAGCTTGGTTGCTCATATTTTGGACTTGTACAGAAAACACCAGATTTAGTCCCATCATTTGTTTTGAAGCCTTCTGTATACCGTATCATTGTATCTGATTTCCTCCTGAATTCTTCTTCTCCTTTGGAGTCTGTAGAGACTTTATTAGATGTTGCAAAGAGAGTTTCAAACCCCAATTTCTAAGAAAGGGTATCTGATTTTATTGATTATTGTAGTTTGCCTGAAATATTCAGTTCCCATCAAATTTGATCATTTTAGGAGTCTAAGTGAGTGTTTTATAGTGTAATTGACAGGGTTGTTTGCATTGTCCATCCCAAGAAGGTAATGTCGTGCATTCGATGGGTTTGAATGGCTACTTTAGTATGAACGCCCAATTAAACCATCAATTATAGTATATACTGCAAATATTCAAAGTGATTAAAGTCAGCAATTCACCAAAAAATAACTGGCATTGGTTAAGAAATTGTTTAGCCTTGGCTAGGTTGTACTACCAAACTCACCATTTCCAATTTTTTTTTTCTCGCTAACTCTTCTTCAATTTTCCTCATAAACATTTTTGGAGCATCATCAATTGACACTTTATTGAAACATTAACTTAATTTGTTAATGTTAGTTTTTGTTTTGTCTGTGTTTAGTTTTCCTCATTTTTATATTTAAACAAATCATGTTTAATGGTTATAGACACACTGTAAGTTTTGTTAATTGTGCATGTGTGCCTTTCAATTGTGTTTTACATGACTTTGCCATTGTTTACTTTCATAGTAATATGATTTCTGTATTATAAACAATAGTTTTGTTTTATATTGTATATTTATTTATTGTTTTATTTTTTTAAAGTCTTCTTGTGCATGGTTATAATTTAACCTGTTTTGGGTGTAAGTTTTAACTTTATTGTGCAGCATGTTGTTCATTGTTGGGAGTTGTACTCATTTGCATCGTGTTATCCGTAAACTTTTACAACTTGTCAAAATGTTTTGTATTAATTTTTGTTGTATTTTGTCCCATTGATTTTTGATTTTGAGAAAAGCAATAAAAAAATTTATTAAATCAAATGTAAATATACAAATTATGAATTTTTTACTAGTTGATAATCAAATAAAAAAGTTAAAATTCATTCTAAACATTTTTTTTATTTACTCAAGAATATTTTGAAAGTTCAACCATCGTTGAATTATGAGATTAATTTAACCAAAATAACTTTCAGTTTAATTGTTCCAATTAATTATTCTTTTTCGAACCCACATTATTCGGCTCAATATGCTGCTGCTCTATCCATTTGAGGTATCATCACTTCGAAAGTAGTGGCATATTGAACCAAAGGTTGTGGGTTCGAATCCCGCTCGTCACACTAATTTTTCATCTCAACCAAAAACCTTAGATAAAAAATAATAATAATTGGAATAATTAATATGGTCAATTATGACCACTAAACAAAAATGGATTAATTTCATTTTAATTTTCAACTCAATTTCAATTCAATTCAATTTTTAATTTTTTAAAAATTGTAATATATTAATTGGTCAAGCGGACCACAAAATTAGTGAATTTAATTTTCAATATTATAATGATTTTTTACACCAACATGTTTATGTTATTATTTATTATTATTTCCATTTTAATTTTGGTTTTAAAAATCTAGGTATAATGGCAGCTTTGTTTAATTTGGAACAGCTAATTGACATGATGTCCATTGGAACACTTTTGGCGTATACAATTGTTGCCCTTTGCGTACTGCTTCTTAGGTATTTGAAATTTCCCCTCACCCCCTCAGGTGATTTAAAAATTTTAACTATTTCATATCATCATACAGATATAGAGATCCAAAGCCTGCATTGTACGAGCCGAGCACACACAACACTGATGAAATCTCTTGGTCTCATTCTATGAGTAACTTGGTCAACCGAAGAGGTATGACAACACCTGACAAGACAACTACGGCAGTCTCTGAAGCAGCGACGATTTCATTCAGTAAGTCCATAAAGCTTCTAATATCTAATATTTTTTGTTTATTTTTTAATTTTTTTATTTTTTGCAGTTGTTTTAACTTTTATAACAACTCTCTTGATTGTAAACTTCGAGGATGAAATAGGCAAAGGGAACATGGGTCCTGTTTATATAATTTTGTGTTTTGTAGTACTCCTTTGCTTACCAGTTATCATCATTGCCTTCCAGCCACAAGACAACCCCAGCTTATTTTTTAAAGTATGTTTACTAAAATTATTAAAGTGATACTAATGTTTGAATATATTTTGTTGTTACTAAATCCGCTGAGTTTCATAAAAATATTTTCAGGTGCCTTTAATTCCTCTTCTTCCATGTATTAGTATTTTCATCAACATGTACCTGATGATGAAACTTGACATGCATACTTGGATCAGATTTGGTGTCTGGCTCATTCTCGGTAAGTACATTTTAACCAAATATTATTTAATTAAATCAATGTATAGGTAATTTAATATATTAGCCATTCTTGCATTAATAAACAGAGTAAATAAACAGAACTTGAAATGCTTCCCTTGGGTACTATACAACCTACAGGTGATTCTGTTGTAAAATCATCTTTGAAAAAAAAAAAAAAAAAAAAAAAAAAAAAAAAAAGAGAGATTGAGTCCTGGTCTAGAGTGATGTTCCAGTCAAACAGATTTTCTGACATAGAAGCTTTTTCTCTCTATCTTATCATCTAAAAGCAGTTATTATTTAAAAATTATCCAAGGAGAGACATTTTATTTATCTCAACATCACCAGCACCTTCATATATCATACTTGCTTCATCTTTACATTTTTCGTGTATCAATTTTCTTTTTCTTTTTTTTTCTTGTGTCCTTTGAAAAACTGAACTATTTTAAACAATTTTTGTTGATTTTGCCCCATATTATGTCTTCTAACGTTCTACCTTCTCTAAGATATTATTTATTATTATTTATCACTATTTAAAAGAACTAACAAGAAATGCAACCTGAAGATGTACATATGTAACATAATAAACATTCAACTAACCTAAATATGATTAACCTCAAATCCTACATGATTGTTTACAATAAAAAGTGTTAAAAAAGAAATTCAAACACTATCCCTTCATAAATTATGCTATTTACATTTTTCAGGTATTCACTTTCTTCTATTCTTTCTTGTGTTTTCTTGAAATCTCCAGCCATTTTGAACAATTCAAACCTTAGGGTGATTAACCTTAAATCCTTTACTATAGTCTAAAATTAAAGGAAAGAAGCAAATTGCCAACTCTTCATAAACCAGCCTTTCTTTTTTTCTAAGATTTCATATATGTATTTCTTTGTTATATTTTTTCATGTGTCTTCACAATAAATTGCAGCCATTTTAAACAATTCTATTAGATCATTGTACCTCCATTTATTCATTTCTTTCCTCTGATGTGTCATCTTCTTATAAATACTTTCAGAAAACACAACTAACCACATCTGCAACTGTGGAAAAAAGTTATATTAAAACTGGAAAAACCTTAATCACAACCTCATCTTAACCTCGAACCCTGTATGATTGTTAATAACTGTTGTCATAAACAAACCATATCTGCAACTGTAAAAAAGAACAGTTATTGTAATAAATTATTATTATCTCTTAAATAAATTCTTCATTTTTGTCTACAATTAAAAAAAGAGCAAATTAATTACCAGCTTATCATAAACTGTTTCTTTTCTTTCCTGTTTTTCTTTCTTATGTCTTTTGAAAATTGCAGCCCTTTTAAACCAGTCTATTAGATCTTTGTACCTCCATATGTTTAAGGTTAGGCAGATAACCTTAAACCCTTTATAATTGTTTAATATTCAAAGAAAAAAAGCAAACCACCAGCCCTTCATATTTTTCACATTTTTCATGTATTAACTTTCTTTCTTCTTCTTTTCTTTCGTTCATTTTCTGGGAATATGCAGCCATTTTAAACAATTCAAACTTTAGGGTGATTAACCTTAATCCTTTATTATAGTTTAATATTAAAAGAATGAAGCAAATTACTAACTCTTTATAAACCAGGTTTTCATGGTTTTTCCTTCTAATTTTTCATATTCAACATAACATTTGTAATGTTTTTACAAATTTTAATAGATTTTCAACTTTTATAGGTATTAAAAATTAACTTATTGTCTGTTTCAGGTGGTTTAATATACATTTTCTACAGCATACCAAACAGCGTTGAAGGAAATAAAGAGAAGCTCGCCAAACAAATGGAAAACATAAGGAAATGAGCGTTGTGCCAGTGCGGTGTATAATAATTGTACAAACAATATATTATTTATTTTATAATTTTAATTTGTTAACTAACACAAGTTCTTTGTGTAACTCAATCATAACATAATGAATCCCAAAAATTTTCCCAGTAAGACATTTTACTTGAGTGTTTTGATTTGTTGATGGATAAATTTTATTTATGTACATTATATAAGCTTACATAATTTGAGACTTTGACCAATCTGTCCAAATAATTAAAAAATTTATTTATTGTAAAGAACTGTTTATAGCGATCAAGAATGATGTGAAAATGTTTCAGAAAAGACAAGATAAGTGTAAAATACATTGGGTACATTAAGTTTCAAAATATTGACACAAGAATAAAAGATAAGTAAAATAAGTAAAACATTTGTAAAGAGAGTATAGATTTTTAAAAAGGTTACGATTTTAAAGAAAAAAGATTTTTTTCTAGACATAGATTTTATGATGGAGCTTGACAAATCAAACAAATATCACATACCTTAGAGATTTTAAGGAGGGAACAATAATCAGGGTTAATATACTGCAGATAATTGAGCGGCAACTTTGCATTGAATTGAAAAATACTGTGATTGTTTCTTTTCAGTATTAACTTTAGTATTTTTAAATAATAATAAAAATAAATACCTTTTTTTATGCAGTATGAATAATTTGTCATTGAAACAATTAAGTTTTTAGATATCTTACATTTAAATTTAATTATTTTACTTCAAAATCAAGAAATATTTTGGTCAAAGTCTTGTTATGTTAAAATTGTATCAAACACTATAACACAGATTTAAAAGATAATACAAAAAACATAGCCAGAACGAGACTTGTTTTCCATCTGTGTAAAATAATGTATATATTATTTTCTAAAAGTTTGTATATACCATGGAAAGGTGTTAACACTAATAAAAGAAATACAATTTTTGTTTAGAAATTATCTGTGATCTTGTAATGAAAAGTACAATAATTTGTAAAAATATAAAATGTGATGATTCTTTTTTGTTGTCTAATATTTAGTAGCTTCAATTTCCAATTCAATTCAATCCAACAAAATTGTTTTCATGAAGAATGAATATTTTGAAAGAATATGAATATCCATTGGATTAATATAAACGACTTAAAAAAACAGGAAAAGTGAAAAGTGCTTATTTGACATTGCTATTTTGGTGTAGAGCTCTTTTACCATGTGGATGCTACAGCACGCTCCCATACACATTTCTCTCTCTTTCACTCTTTCCTTCTCTCCCTGTTTCTGTAGAATTAGGGTGGAAGTACAAAAATATCTCCATAAGGAATTTATTTTTATAGAAGGCTTTAAAAATACTTAACCCAGTTGTTATTTATATTCACTTTCCTTCTTCATCTAATATATCATAAATATGCTTTCTTGAAAAAAAAGCGCATTTCCTAACTTGCTGCTGCAGCATACTGATTTGAAGGAAACAGTGAAATTACCAGTTCTTCATAAACCATCCTTCCTTTTTTATAATGTTCATGTATAGACATTATTCTTTGTTTCTTTCTTGTGTCTTCTGAGAAATTGCAGCCCTTTTAAACAATTCAATTAGATCTTTGTACCTTCATGTGATTAAGGTTAGGCAATTGTTTAAAATTAAAAGAAAGAGGCAAATCACCAGCCACAAGCCAAAAACCAGATTTTCTTTGTTTCCTCATTTTTCATGCATCAACTTTCTTCTTCATTTATTCCTTGTGTCTTCTAAGAAATTGCAGCCCTTTTATGCAATTCTTTCTGACACATAACGTGTTTACAAATGTTCTCTGTCATATTAATATTGACACTTTTACAATAAATCAAATACCTCTGCAAATGTAAAGAAGAAAGCTATCGCATAAAAAGTAGAAACATTCAAACTAACTAAAGGGTGATTAACCTCAACAATTGAGTTCTCAATGAAAATACTAACTCTTCAGAAACCAGCCATTCTTTTATTTTTCTAATTTTTTATGTATCGCTTTTTTTTTCTTCCTTGTGTCTTTTGAGAAATAGCAGCCCTGTTAAGCAATTCAATTAGATCTTTGTATCTCCATGTGTTTAAGGTTACACAGTTAACCTTAAACGTTTCATTATTGTTTAAAATTAAACAAAAAGAAGCAGATCATCAGCCGTTCATATACCAAATTTTCTTTGTTCCCACATTTTTCATGCATCAACGTCCTTCTTCATTTATTCCTCGTGTCTTCTAAGAAACTGCAGCCCTTTTATGCAATTCTTTCTGACTCATAAATGTTTATATCATACATCATAAATCATACTTACAGATTCTTTTCTTAGTAACTCAACGAAAATGTAAAACAGGAAGTTATTACAGAAAAAGTATAAACATTCAAATTAATTAAACCTCTTCTAACCAATAACCAATAGTCTAAAATTAAAATCTAATAATTAATTTTAACTATTAGATTACTAAATGAATACTAACCCTTTCATAAATTGTATTACAAAACCCTTACAAATTGCTATCTTTGTAAATCATTCTTGCCTCATCTTCAAATTTTGCATTTATCAACTGTATTCTTCTTTCCTTTTAGGGGTCTTAAACAACTGTAGCCTTTTTAAATTATTGTTCATTACTTTTGACCCTTCATAAGTCCATGCCTTTTTAAAATATGTTATCGTCTCTTTGAAGCTTTTAGAATGCAGACATATTTAACCAGCAGCACTGAACCTTTGACTAACCCTATTGTTTTCTGTCCAAAATTTTGGCTTTTATAAATGAAGGAATTTGATTGCATCGTCAATCAAAGATTATTCAGAGATAAATTGGTATTTTGGAATGGAGAATAATTGGCCAAAAATTGAGGTGGCGAATTTATTGAAGTAGTCGGTTATACTAAGCTTATATATTTTGCTTAGTCCAAATTTACACAAAAAAACAAAGTTTGGAGAAAAGATTCTTGATGTCAGAATCAGTACAAAATATTGAAAAACCTATTATTATATTAGGCAATGTACAGAACCGATTATATGTTTGCCATTTAAATTTATTAAGCATTTTTAACAAATAATAAATTAAATAAAATAAATATAATTAGTTTGAAAAGTTGGCTTTGGAGATGTTTTCTAGAGCTTGTCATTTGTATTTGACATGGTCTTCAGACAGTGTTGATTCATACTTTCTGGCAACAAACATCCAAGAATGATTTTCACTTGGCTTCATCCCACAAAGACAAAACCGCGAGACATCCTGGCCTCTATTTTTGCCTTTTAAAGCCATAAAACGCCTTGTCAGACACCACGTCGAACCTAGACAGACAAGATGTAGTAGTAGTGCTGGAGGATGAAAAAGATCCTTCGAATTAAAATAGAATAGCGATAGGAGGAAAATTGCGACGTGGGACGTCTCGTCCTAATAATACCGGTTTCATCGTGGATGTCGGCCAAAGCCAAGCTGTCTGCTGCTTTGAATGTGTCTAGACCGTTTGGGATGACCGATCAATTATTAACGGCGATGGATATTTTTACCTTCCGGCCCAAGAAATATAGCCGACTTGTTTACATCTCCCGGCTACTATTTCTATCTGGGGGATCCTCTTTATGAAAAACGAGTCGTACAACCAGGACTTTTATCTAAATTTACAAAAAGATATGACGTAGTTGCAAAGTCAAAATCGACCACAAGCTCTTTTATAGAATATTAATAATTTTCCTTCTCGATTGTTGTCTAGCTCTTGGTAAACTTTTAGACTTTTTACCATAACCCATTTTATTAGAGCTCCGGTATGTATCCTTCAGGACAAGGCTTTACATCTTCCAGGAGTAGCTTCGATAGGCCTTCGCACCAACAGAAAACATATTCGCCGTTTCTTCTTCGTCCTGGCAATACCTGCGCAGGTTTGTTTCTGCTGCTCAGAATATGCAATACCCCTATGGAATCTGCAGTGTCCGGTCAGCAGTCCTACTCCCATTTTGCATGGTCTTGTGATAATCTTTTCTGTCTCAGGATCCAGTCTCTTTGAACCGAGGATAGGAAAATGTATACTGGTGTGTTCAGTCAATTTTGTTGATGTCTAATATGGGGAGTGTGCTTTCAAAATTGTTAAAAACCTAGCAAGCAGGGCTAACGTGAGACTGTCCATGCATTATATCCTTTGGGTGTATATCTGTCCGTTGAATTTGAAGTAGTTTTGTTCTTTTTGTTACGTTTTTAAGTTAGTACGCTAGTAATAGTAGCGTAAATGCTACCATGTTAAGTGAAATTTTTAAAAAGGCCATTGGCTGCTCAAAGCGAACTTTTAGTCAAAGCTTAATTAGAAATTTTCCTTTGAGACTTTTTAATTTTTTCTAGCAAATCATACAATTTCTATTCATCCAAAATTCGGCTTATTAAAAATGTATGTAACTGAGCTGTAAGTGATATGGCTATAGTTGAGATAGATAATGCTTAGATGTATCTAAATCTTAGTTATGCTACTCTAAGATTGTGGTTGTTAAGCCGTTCTTTGGAAATACTGGATTACTTTTTGGTTGGGATAATAATTAGTTTACAAAATTGGCAGATTGGATCTAATTTTGGTGGAGAGGTAGCATGGGCTCCAGTATTACTGACTATTGAAACCCTTAATAGTTTTGAACGCAAATGATTAATTTTGATGTAATAAATGGTTGAATATAGATGTTTACAAGTTAAAAGTGCCTTTTCCACTCTGGCGTATCTGCTGTTTTCTTCGTTCTCGTCTTATCTTCCAAAGAAGGAATGTCTCCGAGTCTTAACCAATCTAAGGTTTAATTAACATGGTGCGTTCTTTGGTTTTTGGTTGTAACGTAACAATTTTTTTAATCGAATTCCACTCACACTTATGCGTCACCAGTTAAGGGTCACTTGTTCTTTTATGACCCATGAAAAACGAAGCGGACCGAAGATATACTGTTTTGCCGACGTGCCTTGGTTTCGTCGGCTGTTTTCTGAGAATCCGCGGGTATGAACTCTAGGGAAAACAAGATGTAATCGCGTTAGGGTTTTTTAAGAGGTTCCGCCGGGATCTGGTGATCGACATCGTCAGACGTTGCTGGATACCCTCTGGGGGAG